CACGTGCTGCACTGCACGTGTTCAAAATGTCATGAATCCGTGGTTATTTAGACAGAGGTAAAGAAACAATGACTCTACTTCCAGAGCGTTAACGTCCAAGCAGGGAATAGAACGTTGTTCCCCTTTCATTTCCTGATATCATTTTCAGGTACTGCCGAATCTTATGTTCTCCTGTCCATGGGCAGCCACTCTTGTTCAGTGATAGACTGAAGATGGATCGTATGATGAACAGATTTCGCAAAGCTTTTATGGGAGACTATTACAAACAGTAGCTTTAAATCTTTCCTCACATGTATGCAACTAGACGTGTATTATTCCCATTTTCAAAACTACCTCGAAAAGCACAGTACACTTTGTCAGCTGTGGTTTCCAATGCGCCATTCATAAAATGTTTGCATGTTTCTGACGGACCGTCGCGGCTACTTTAGCTGTTCAAGAGTACGCATTCTCCGTTATTCCCCTTGTCGTGAAATGCCACTTAGTCGCTACCGGTTTCCATGAGGAAAATGTACTATGGAGAGCAGTACGTAGTCAATCAGTGTAAAAAGAATTCAATAACTACTAATATGACAACTAAAATACCCGGCTTCCATTTGCTTACTTATAATTTGACCTTTAAAATTCTGCAAAGCGTTTTGATCGCAAACTATGATTAGAAGTCGTGTCAAGATTAAATTGTTTCACAAGATTATGAGAGGCCTTAGATTTCGGTGACAACGTCTAGAGAACCATTAGTTTCAGTTGTTCACATATTTGAAACCAGTTTCGATGACTGCACTTCTTAAATAATTTTTAATCTTTATGTAAAACTTTCCTGATTTATTTTTAAGGCTTGTTCTACAATTATCCAAATATTCTCATTTTTTGCTGCTTCAAGTCACCGTACAAGAGTTGAACTCTATCGATGAAGGATGAAAAATTTAAGTAGAAGTCTGATTACGGCTGATCGTTTTCGAGATGAGGTTCTCGTTAGTCTGCGCATTACTTCATTAAGGGTAAGGTTTGTTATGATTTCGTTCTTTTATACTTCCATAATGAGAAAAACTATAGTTGTCTTAACTCCATGAATCTTATGGTACGGATTGATTTAAGTCTTAAGGCCATCAGCCTTGAGTGCCTTTAGTGCAATGGAAGTATGTGCGGTTATGACCAGGCACAGAATA